TGGGGGGCGCCCAGAGACGCCGATGCTGCTGCTTTCGCCGTGGGGCTCGAACCTCTCGTGCTCTTGGCCTCTCTGCCCGGCTCTGGGAGGTGTCGTGGACAATGTCACCGGCATCCTCTCCTGAAAAAGCGTTCCTAGCTCCGAGGAGAGTCTGTCCATTGCGGCCATGAAGGATGTTTCGATCCTGTAGGCCTGCTTCGCCATCAGATCTTCGATGACAGCTTGCTCTCCCATGGACTCGGCCGTGCGATCCGTCGTTATTGGACCGCTGGTCCAGGTTCTGACTGCGTGTTCGGTCTCGGTGACAGTGATTGGTGAGGTGGACTCAGGAGACTAAGGTGGACCACGTGTTCGGTCTCGGTGACAGTGATTGGTGAGGTGGACTAAAGTCATTTCGACCGTTTTGTTTTTGAGCTTTGCCTGTGCCCTAGTTTCCACCATAAGTTTTTAACAAGTCCCACCGGGCGTGCCAAAAGTGTTTGTCGTTCGTAAATCTCGCGGCCTGGTGCTCCGGGCCGAGGGGATGCGCGTCAATACGTGACGTCCTTCTTTTGGATACGGTGCGGTTGTGCGCAGGCGTGCCAGCACGGTCTACCGTGTGTCGAGATGATGATGAGGTTCAGGTAGAAGATGGTTTAAATGTTGCGCCTGTTTTACGTTCAACTCCTAATCAAACGATCGTAGCCGAGAGAGGAACTGATCTCGGCCGTCAGGTTCACGGCCTGAGCAACAAAGCCGTTTAGTGGTGGTGTTGGTGGCGGGTTTTAGGTGGTGCTCCGGCGCGTTGCTCAGAGAGCGACAGTCGTATGATATATGGGGTGAGTGAGGCGATAACAGAGATGGTGCTCCGGCGCCTTGAAAATCAAGGGTCGTATGATATATTGATAGATGGATTTTCCTTACAGTCTACCACTACACCTAAGAAACCAAATAAAGGTATTGAAAGTGCATTACAGGAAAATATAATTTGCTCCGTGGGAGGCTTTTGGTTTTGGTGTTTGAACCCTTTGAACGTAGTCCTAAGCTTAGTATTTATAGGAGTCCTAGAGGGACATTCGAGGCTGACAAGACCTGCGTGGTGGAGCCTGACCGGGGCAAGTGGGTAGTCAAATCTGCATTTGGGATCGTGAAGCATGGTGGTCTAAGGTTGAGAAGCATGGTGGTGTGACCCTCATAAATCTCGGCAAATCTCGGCCACCGCCCTGATCGTGGAGCCCGTGGGAATGCATTTAATGCCCTGGACTGGTGGTTGATGATCTGACCCTAAGTCATAAGATTACTTGTGAGAATGTCTGCGCCTAACCACCCTGATTCCCATCACCAAATCCTGACTTCAGTCACTCCCCTCGTGCATTGAATGTTTCTTGTGACTAGTGGGTTTTGCTGTGAAGTCAGAGGCATTACTTCATTAAATGGAGCGTGGGGCCCTGAGGCCACGTGGCGATTCAACCACAACTTTTTCAGACCGTGTCTTTTGCGGCCTTCGGCCTCAGTCTTCAAAACTGTGGTCACGAGGCCGAGGGGATTCTCCCTTTGCAGCTTTTCTTTTGCTCTTAGGAGGGTGAAATGCTTGATGAAACGATAGGCGCCAGGGCCGAAGGGAAGTCCCTTCAATTAGTTCATGACCGTGTTTTATTAGGCACAAACAACGAGGAATGGCTTTCATGGGCGAGGCTGTTCAAGCCGCTGCGAGGAATTGGGGAATTAGGATGGTTCAATCCATCTCATACAATCCCCAATCGAATGGCCAAGCGGAGGCTAGTAATAAGGTGATAAAAAGGATTTTGGAAAAAATGATCGATAAGAATCCCAAGGAATGACACTCTCTTCTTTCCAACTCTCTATGGGCGTA